ATTTGTTTTATCAAAAACAACATTAGATTTGTCCACCTGTCAGGTTTTAGAGCATATGGGGCACAGCATGTGTATGTGGATATAACTCAGTTGTTTAAACACGCTCTGTTATTATTGGTCATTTATTCATTTGCTAGAAATAAGAACTGAATTTAGAAATAATTTTAAAAGAAATCTTTGTGCTTAAACAAAATTTATTATGTATAGGCTAATGGATGTCTGTGCGAACAACACGTTTCCCAATCAATGCAAGAGAGAAAGTAAAAGTAAAGGTCGATTAAAGGAGGCTGTTCATTATCCTTGCCCTGTAGATGCTCTGTTTAACTGTTTTCTCGCAAGAAATGCTCAGTTTTCCCACTTACAAAGTCTGCCATGTAAATAGTAAATGCACCATGGCATGAGGCAACTGACTCTTAGAGAATGGAAGATGAGACACTGATTGGTTTATTCTCAAAACGCACCTATACCTCATCAAGAGAATAAGCTCAACCCTGTTAGACCATGCGCTGCGGCACAGAGCTGATTTTTCCATCATTAAAAAAGCAAACGGGGATACTGACATGCCCTTAATGCTTTTGCACCCTGCGCTTCAGACTTTGTCTAGATTGTTAAAATAGAGCCCCTAGTGTTCAGAAATCGGCATGATAATTAGCCACAGATCGGCAAAACAATCAAGCATGTAACCAAATAGCACCAACAAGCCACTAAAACACACGCGACTGAAACAAAACTAAACCATACATGCAAACCCACAACCGTGACCTAAATAGTTGATGACATGGCATTAAATTAAAATATATGATACTAGACAATGTAACTACAAACGAGTAACGCATTGAATATGAAAATTAGCTAATCTCGTATATAAAGGAATATATAATTTTATTTATTTATTTATTTTTGACAGAGAGAGAGGCTAATGGTCTAATCTGCTTCAATTTATTCAATTCCATGATTTATGCCAAGCTAAGCTCAAAGTGTTCCCGCCAGACCCGGAGGACGGCGAAATGGATTAAAAAAATGCTAGAACTGTTTAACGCTAGTAAAATGAGCCTATTTCCAAAGAAAGTGCAGTGTTTTCTTAAGAAAGTACTGGCTTATATATGATAACTTACAGGGGTTAAGGTTAGGTTTAGGGATTGTTCCTAATTATTACGCAGTTTAATTACTGTGATAATAAATATTATGTATATTTAGAACAGGACTGTAAAATAATGTACTACCACAGACAAAACACAAACTGTAAAAAAAAATTGAGTTTCTTGGTTGCTTTAACTTCAGCAAAATGTAAAACTATGAATTATTTTGACCCAGATTCCAATAAAGTGATGATTTTCCAGTCCTGAGACCTATGACAACTGCACAAGCAAAATGAAAATGTGCTTTTTCTTCTCAAATGCTTGTAGTGATCATTTAAACTCGCAACTTTGGATTAATGCTAGGGTGTGCAGTATTTAACATCTTTTATTTTCTAAATGAAGAAATATTAAGTTGTTTAAAGAATAATTATCTTGAAACGGAGACTTGCTGCCACCTACTGGCAATTTTACTGTCATGTTTTACATATCTGTGGCAGACCTAAACCAGCCAATGTTCTACCTCACAAATGCACTCCTATACATTTTGTCTAATTGCTTTTTTCAGAAAATCCCCAAAACTAGTTTGCAAACCCCTGATTTTTTTTTTTTTTTTTTTTTTTTTTTTTTTTACTGTTCTGTTTTTTTTTTTAAAGCTTGGCTGATTGTTCCCTTAATTTATTGCTTTTTCCTTTCCCTCCTATATTTCTTCAGGATTCTCATCGCTTCGGAAACAATATCAGACGCGCAATGATTGACATGTTGGATCTGTTTCAGCTTGACAAAAAAGACCCAAAGTGATCAGAATGATGAAAGGATTGTGCTTTTAATAACTCATGTCAGCTTAATTGTATATCAGCACTGTTGAGCGAAGCTTGATTATTGGTTTTCTTCTTTTTTCTGCTTGTGTAGTCTTGTTTGTTTGCATGTGTCTGTGAGATGCAGCATATGACGGAGATAAGTAGGGAGGGAGTGCGAGATCTCTTTCTGTCGTTGCAGAATATGTGCTGGTGCCTTAACATGTGTCTTAACCGAACAGTTCAATGCAGGTGATCGAAAGTAAAACCGCATTTCATTACCAGGACACACTTTCACTTTCAGGTCTCAGTAGTTTACTGAGATGGACACACACTTCAATACGTGACATTGACTTGAAAAGATGTCAAGAAGCACAGTAATTCACTTGGCAAAACGGAGCTCCCATGTTGCATTTTGATAGTTTGCGGTTTTCCAAATTCAGTATTATGAATGAAGGGAAATAAGAGATTATGAATGTGAAGTATATGTTTTTGAATACTCAAAGTGTGCAGTCTTTGAAAATGAATGTTGGTCATTTAAACCGGCCTATTTTTATTGGTTGATATTGTTTAGATTCTGCATTGAAAGGTCTGTTTTAATGAGGGATGTGTTAATGCTTAGCAGATGCTTTATCCTATTAATTGTACATTTCATTTTTTTATTTGAGTTCTTTTTTTTTGTGTTCATCATATTTGATGTTCGCTTTCGAGTGTTGTATACTGTAATGATTTTGGAAATCATTGTTAAAAACTGATTTGAGACTCAGTTATTTATGTTTAAGGGGTGTCATTGCAAAGTACACTTCAGAAATTTAGGAAAAGCATTAAACATATAATAAACAAATGAATACTGTAAACTCTCATTTTGTCCTCAATTCTTCAAGGGTAGTTTGTAATAGATTGTTGACAATTTCTTTGACTAAACCGAATTAAGGAAATTTCTCATTTTATTTCCACTCACATTTGTTGTATTGCTATTTTGTCTGAAAATCACTTTATTTATAGGCCATTAAGGCCATCTCTTCTATATGGGCTGCATACATTGAGTTGTTATTGTGTAAATTGATTACTATTGTTAATAAAGTAAAGCATAAAGTAAAATGTTGCTTACCATTTCCCGTACTTAAACTGTGTAAACCCAACTTGGAAGGTGCAGTATGTAAATTTGACACCCAGTGGTTGAACTAGGTATTGCATTCTTGGATTAAAACAAAGATAAGCGCAGGTTGCCAGATTGACAACAAACAGGAGCGAGTCTGACTATTGAGCCTAAAGGCTGATTTAAATCATGTTCATTATAAAAGCAAAAGCACACAATAGAGGGAATGCTCTCCATGTTAAAAGCAGTGTTTGTCCTAACCAAGACCTCATGTCAATATATATTTGGAACAGCTTCTATTTCTTGCAGCTGCACAACAGAAAACTGACAATGATCACCTCAGGTACACCTCATGTGCTTTATTTAATGTTAAATGATAAAAATGTGACTTCTATTGTCATTCTACTGAAAGCAGCAGCAGGTAGTTCACCTCAGATCTTGAAAATAAAATAAACTATTTGAAATTAAACTTCAGAACTGTCTAAGGACTCAAAACCAACACATATCAGTGATTCAGCTTCTACATTTAATAATGTTAAAGAGATTTAATATGTATTAACTAAATTTTAAACCTTTAAGCTTATAAACTATTTCGTTGGAGTGCAGTGAGTGCACTATTCTGTGCGTCTGAATGGCTGTATTTCAATCGTATTTCGGTCGTATTTTGGTCACAGGTGCATAGTTTTAGTGCCTTTCTGAATGAATGAAAGAGAGAGCGAGCCAGCCAGAGGTTTCCACCAAGGCAACCCGGGGTGCTAAAACATAATTGGCTAAACTGACATTGGTTGGATTAAAAAAACAATAACAGACCAACGTGTAACGCACACTTTCAAAGCAGAATATCTGAATTCAGCATTGTTTTTTCAGATAAACAACAATGTTCTCTTAGCATTACAGTATTTTATGCTTTTGAAGAGTTCAGCAACTTTAAGTTGATCCAACCCAATATTTATAATAACACATAGTTTGTTTACCTACATTTAATTCAACGTGTTTAGTCACTTTTTTAAGTAAAGCCAACTAATTGTTTTAAAAGCAACAAGTTTGCTCACTTTAAGTGAAGTCAACTAATCATTTTCCTCAGTGCAGATAGCATGAACTACTGTGATCAACAGTTGAAGGAAAAAAAAATCTGAAAGAAAAGTCTCTTCAAAATTGCAATTCAACAGTTTAGGACAACGGTTTCGATCAACATCAAATATTTAAAAGATAACAGTTGTAATTTTAGTGTTCTGCTATTGTGATTTGGGTAAGGTTAGCTGGGTTTCTGCAGGTTTCACCATGTTAAATTGAACACATTTTAAGATCATTATGAATTACATTTTAGCAGGGCTAAATGTTAAGGATGTTTTTTTTTTGAATATTCCAGTTAGGAAATATTTTCACTTGCCTTATCAAAAAATTATCAATTTAATATTATTATTATTATTATTATTATTATCGGTTTTTGAAATTAATTTTAAATATATCCATTTACAAACCCTATTACCTGTACCAAGAATAAAACAAAACATATTTGCCAATTATTTTAGTCTACAATAATGATAATTTATTAATGAAAAATATAGGTCAGGTTATTATCCTCAGCATTAAATAAATACTATAAAAAGTGAATGGATTATTGGTCATTATGGCTGTTAATGGCAGGATTGAGTAGCTGTGCATGAACAAAGGAAAACTAAGACCTGTTAGAAAAGGATTTAGGACCGACAACACAGTAGTTTAAGGCCTAATATTTAGCTTTTGGCAACGAAGTGGCGCAGTAGGTAGAGCTGTCTCCGTACAGCAAGAAGGTCGCTGGTTCGAGCCTCGGCTTGGTCAGTTGGCATTTCTGTGTGGAGTTTGCATGTTCTCCCTGCGTTCGCGTGGGTTTCCCCACAGTACAAAGACATGCAGTTCATGTGAATTGGGTAGGCTAAATTGTGTGTGTGTGTGTATGTGTGTGTGTGTGTGTTGAATAAGTTGATATTAAAAATGGTTTAAATGATGATTATTCATTACAATGACCTAAATGATAATTATAAGACTTATTTCAAAAGTTCACATTGTTATTTTGTTATTATTACACTTGGTGTGCTTTTTATGACCTTTACAAATATGGTCTTGTAAACCATGATGTGTATGTGTGATCTTTGAACAGCGCCTCTGTAGGCGGAACTTGGTACTGCACTTCTATACACACTCGCGCCAAATCTTACACAATTTCGCGCCATACATTCAATCGCGGGAAAACGTCCCTCAGACTGTGGACGTGACAGTCGCGCTTCAAGCAGTGAAACTCACATCAAACAAGTAAGTCATTTGTTTTTAATACTTTGTACATTATTTATTATTATATGTACTGTATTATTCCACTTGCTATTCAAAATAGCAAGTTTATTTATATATTTATATCCGGCGCGTACTGTTTTAGACAATAATAATTAGTGACTGGGAACAGAAGATGAGAACAAATAAACGTTAGAAATAGGTGTTTGTAATGGCAGCATCAGACGTAGTTCTTCAAAATGTGTATTTGCTAATAATAGCACGCGCTCGGCCTGTATCTGGCTCGGAAGCGCCGGTGTCGATTTAACCCAGAACCGGGCAGAGCTCACTCCTCCGCGATAAACAATTCGCCGTCTGATTCCATGAGATGTAACGTTATGAAAGATGCACTATGTACTTTGTGATTTTTTTTCTACACATACTTTTATGTGAGAAGCAATGACCATTCGAATATGGTATAAATAACATGGTAACAAGGTATATTAAACATAAATATGACGTAGAAACAATTTACTAAACTTGAATTATTAAGCATGATTGAACAAAATGTTTGAATTTAGTAATGTAAATGTGTGGTTTTATTTTTTCTAATGTTTTTTGTGATAAACTTGTGTTAAGTTAAACTGTACATTTGAATAAATGAACTTTTATTATGAAAAGAGGTTAACTTACCCTAGTTAAATAACTTTATTTGATCAAATTGTCAAAATAGTGCACTACTAACTTATATTTTGTTAAATGGTTTGAAATGTGATAACTGTATTATGAAATTTGATAACTATATCACTATTTTGTTCTGTTTTGGTCTTCTTTAGAGAATTTTGCACTACGTCACATATATTAATACTGCTTTGCATATGTGGTATTGTATTGATATTATAAACTGTGAAGTTTAACCTTATATAATATTTTAACAGTGAATGAATGGTGGTAAGAGTCAAAGCAGAGGATTAAATCATTTGAAAGATGCTGCTCATCATGTGAGGTTGGGGAAGGATAAAGACATGCTTATGTGGAGGTACATCAGTGACATCAAAGGTACCAAAGTTTTGTACATGTTTTTTCTTACTGCAGGTAGTCCCCAGTTAATGTTTCATTATAAGCATAGTGTATAAAATGTTAAGATGCAAAAAGGAGTTTAATTTAACACAAAAAATTAAGTCATGAATGATGATTTGATGACATGACAATATAAATGTCAACAAATAACATTTAAATAATAATCATAATAATAAAAAGAAATGTCCTAATTGAAAACCACACTTTAAAATGTTAATGTTTAATTTAAGAGTCTAAAAAATGCTAATATTAATGATTTCCATATTAGTGAAAAGTTAAAACTATTAAAGATTGTACACTATCCAGGGCCTGATTAACCAATGGCTAATAACACACATTGATGGAATAAGCCACAAATTCTTTACACAAATTTTTACACAAATTTTGTCAGACAAGTGATGTCTGACCGACAGAGACAACATAACTAAATAGCGCCAGTGGTGTAGCTTGTAATGCACATAGCAACATGTTTTGACGCGATTGATCATCAACTCGAGTTCTAATATACCGTCTGCTGAACTTATTCTTGTTTTTTTTTCTCCCCATTGCATATCAGATGGGAAATACATTTATTTTTAGGAAACATTTAAAAAAAAATTAAAATAATGCAAATGTTAAATAAAGTCACAAGTGCCTCGTGTGTTTTGATGATGTTTATCTTATTTCTCTAAAGAGTTATTTTAAATATATAATAAAGTTATTTTCAAATGTTAGCAACATCTTAATAGAATTCATTTTTATTTATTTTTTTGTGACGTTAGTCACTAGGGGTGTAACGGATCACTGTTGATCCGTGATCGATACGGATCACAACCCACGGTTCAGAATGTGCGTAACCCGTAGATTAATAACTTTTTTTGAACTTGTAGGTTAATCCAACAGTTATAACAATCGCAGAGAGATCGCCTCACGTGTCATTCAAATTGCATGAATGAAAGCATTTTGGCTTCCCTGTAAAATATAACGATGACATTGTGGGACCTACCTAAATGCTTTTGGCTTTTGGTGTTTTTTGTCACTGTTTGTTTAGCCTGCATTAATGCATTCATTATGGTAAGAATAAAATCACTGTTTAATGAAACAAGATGCTGGTGAAAGCAACTACATTGTGTAACCAACAGATGGCGACAAACAAACATCAAAATTATGTCATTGAATAGGTTTTCAAATATAATACACCTACAGTATAATGAAACATGAAGTTTTGTGTGTGAATTGTTGAATCATTAATTGAAGATAAATATATGTTGTACAAGATTTCTATATATTTTGCATTATCAGCAACAGTAGCAAAGATCATATTTCATATTGAATACTTTTTTATTTTATTTCCTGATTTTAATTTTTTATTAAAATTACAGGTTCTATTTTCTGTTTGTTAAAAGCAATGTTTTATGCAGTAACATTTTTGTATAAATGGAAAGCAAATTGTCTCCTCCCTTTTTTGCTGATCCAAAAAATGGTCCGATCCATAACTCAAAAAACGTAGAGTGATCCGAACTGCAGATTTTGGATCCGTTACACCACTATTAGTCGCCCTTTCCCAAACCCTGATTAGCCTGTCGATTATCATTTGCCACAACTAGCGCTACTTGACCCATATTCTCCTACCTCATGGCTCTGTTTGAAGAGCATTTAATTGGTTGCCAATGCCTTAATAAAGGGTGCCTCCCTCTCTTTAAAAACATTTTTTTTTAGAAACTAGGCATTTCCTCTTAGCAAATAGTCAATATCATATATTATTATTATCATTGTATTTAAATTGTCAGAAAATGTCACCATGTATAAAAAGCAAGCAGATTTTTTCCTTTCCTTCTTTACTTTTTAACTAAACAGCATGCTCTAATTGGTGAAGTGCATGTAAGTTTTGAAATAACCTGCACTGAATTGAGCGGACTGTTGTGTAGTATTTGCCGTAGATCAAAATGAGTGGACAAGTGGATTTGGCAATCACAAGAGAAAAAGAGGAGAGGGTGCATCTTTATTGAGGCATGTTTCATGTATTCACTCCTTCAAACAGACCCATGATGAGGAGAATGAGGGTATAGAAGACGTTATGGTAATGTTATGTGCAAGCTAGCATTAACCAGGCGGAGGATGCCAATGGCAGTGCAGACTGGATTCATTGTGTGTCTGAGGGCGTACTTGCACTATACAGTTGCCATGAACCAGGCTGAAGCATGCTTTTCCCCGCTTCCGTCTCCCCCTACGGCCTGCACTCACATTGCATTCGGGCCGGGGCACTCTTATGTCATCGAACATGTGCTGTTCAGTAAGCTCTCTCGCAAAGCACAGTGGAGAATAGTAGTAAATACCTTTTAAAATATATATTTTAGTACTGCTTCAGTTAACTTGAACAAGTGTACTTATACTATCAATTTTCACAAATTTTATTAATAAATTTTAAATGCTTAAAAAATAAGTTAAATCTTTGTAGACTATATATATATATATATATATATATATATATATATATATATATATATATATATAATTAAAAAAAAAAATGTGGGCAATATATTATAGATTCGTTTTGAAAAAAATGTATTCTATTCTTATTTTTTTTAATACAGACCTCTTGAGTTCTTAATCCGGGCCTGACACTATCAAATAGTAAAGTATTATATAATTGTTTTGGGCCAGTTGCCTGTACAGTGTACTTTTTGTGCACTATTAAACCAACATAATGATTTTTTTCAATGATTTAGTTTCTTCTGTATCAGTTTTCACTGTTTGTCCAGAAGAGTTTGTGACGCATACTCTGTGGAGTCAGTGTTCATGTGTTGACAGAACTGTTTTTATTTGGCAGAGTTACAATTTTAATCTTGTATAAAAAAAGTACCTTGTGTTTAATTTTAAAACATTGTTCTGCACGATATCACAACATACAATTGTAATTTTAGAGTGTGTCATGTGGAGGAGTTGACCTCTCCTGTAACAAACATGAAAAAGCAAAGGTAGGGTATATTGGATTTTATTTTAAAAATTGGCATATTTTGAACTGTATGTAGTATTAAATATAATGTTTAATAATGTCTGTTTAGCACACACTTGAGTTGTTTTAGCTTTATTTTCTGTGTTTTGATTATGTTTTTCAGTCTCTTCATGAGCCATTATCTTTGAATTCTGAACAGAGTGAGCTTCAAAGAGGTTTGTCTATGTAATTGTCTTCTAAATGTTGATCTGAAGAGATATTTTCTTATTGTTCCTGTATCTGTGCAGTTATTTTTATATAATAATACATTTAATATGGGTGTAGTGATACATTATTATATTGAGAATCGCAATATAACAATTCAAATTTTTTTCTTTAGATTAGCCTCTATTCACACGGTGAGTATTATGCGTAAGATTAAACGTTTACACAGTGGCAGTATAAACTACTGTTGTTAAATAATGAAAATAATGCAAGTTGAAATCTGATGATGACAAATGCCTGATTATACCAGTGAAAATAATCTATTTGCATGTGGATTATAAGAGAGTGCAAGCATACATCTAACACTCATCTTCAGAATTTTGAATTTGTATTCTGATGTCATCTCTGTCCTGTGCATTAAAGACCAATTTAAAGTTTAACATGCCAGATCTATGCAAAATTGAGCAATTTAACCATTACTAGGCCTACACATTATAATAATATTGTTTTTACCACATTTGAGAAATAACTAATATTAATAATATTTAAAGCTTTTTTTTATAGCTTACAATATTGAGATATCAAGAGAAACAATGTCAAGATTGCTGACCTAGCAATAGGCTATTGTTTTAATATCTGTGTGTTTGCTCATGGTTTATGGGGACCAAGTATGTCTACTGAATGTGACTTAACAGTAGGCTATTGTTTTGTTAAATCTGTTTATTCATGGTTTATGAGGACATGGTTTGTTATGCGAGACTTAAAGCTTTCAGTAAGTGAATGTCATGTTTTCTTCATCTTTCTTTGCTTCTCTCTTTCAGTACCTCCATGAGCCCGTCGCTTTGACAAACACAAACAGAGTTGTTTTCTACAGAGGTTTGTTAATTCTTTTGTCAAGCTAATTTGACACTCCTTAAAGGCATGGTTCACCCAAAAATAAACATTTACTCACTATTAATTTACCCTCAAGTGTTTCAAACCTTTATGGGTTTCTTTTTTTCTGTTTAATAAAACAAATGAGATACTTTGAAAAAAGATGGAAACATGTAACCATTGACTTACATGATAGAAAACACAAATAATATGAAAGTCAATGGTTACAGGTTTCCACCGTTTTTCAAAGTATCTTCTTTTGTGTTTAACAGAAAAAAGAAACTCTTAAAGGTTTGGAACACTTGAGGGTAAATTAAAAGTGAGTAAATGTTCATTTTTGTGTGAATCATCCCTTTAAGTGCTAAAATGACAGTTCCCTATTTCTGCTAAATGCAGTTTAGCAGTCCTGTGTGTTTAGTCATGGTTTATGAGGACCAAGTATGTCTATTAGATGTGACTTAGCAGTAGGATATTGTTTTAATAAATCTGTGTGTTTACTCATGGTTTATGAGGACACAGTATGTGTAGGTTTACATGGTGCTAGCAGTAGACTATTATAACATGTGTTTCTTCATGGTTTATGAGGGCATTTTTTGTTATGCGAGACTTCAAACAGTTAGAAAACAAATGTTACATTTTCTTTATCTTTGCTTCTCTCTTTCAGTACCTCTATGAGCCCGTCACTTTGACAAACACAGAGTTGTCTTTTACAGAGGTTTGTTAATTATTTTGTCAAACTATTTTGACACTTTTTAAAGGGATAGTTCTCCCAAAAAGTACAATTGTGTCATCATTTGCTCACCCTTTAATTGTCTCAAACCTTTTTGGGGTTATTTATTCTGTTAAAGACAAAAGAAAATACTTACAAATAATATGGAAGTGAATGATTACAGGTTTCAATCTTTTTTTGTTTTCTACCATGGAAGTCAATGATTGCAGATTTTCTTCCACCAAATGTCTTGTTTTTGTTTTTTATCAGAAAAAATAAACACGTAAAGGTTTGGAACACTTGATGGTCAATTGTTAGTGAGTAAATGTTCATTTTTGGGTGAATCATCACTTTAAATGCTAAAATAACAGTTTCATATTTCTGCTAAATGCAATGTAGCAGTCCTGTGTGTTTTGTCATGGTTTATGAGGACCAAGTATTTCTATTGGATGTGACTTAGCAGTAGGATATTGTTTTAATAAATCTGTGTGTTTACTCATGGTTTATGAGGACACTGTATGTAGAATGCAATGTTAGCAGTAGACTATTGTTTTATAACGTGTGTGTTTCTTCATGGTTTATGAGGACATGATTGGTTATGCGAGACCTAAAGCTTTCAGTAAGCGAATGTCATGTTTTCTTCATCTTTCTTTACTTTTCTCTTTCAGCACCTCCATAAGCCAGTCGCTTTGACAAACACAGAGTTTTCTTCTACAGAGGTTTGTTAATTCTTTTGTCAAGGTATTTTGATACTTCTGGAAAGGATAGTTTTACCCAAAAATGAACATTTACTCACTATTAGTTTACCCTCAAGTGTTCCAAACCTTTATGGTTTTCTTTTTTCTGTTTAACAAAACAAATAAGATACTTTGAAATAAGATAGAAACCTTTAACCATTGACTTCCATAGTAGTAAAAAACAAGTAATATGAAAGTCAATGGTTACAGGTTTCCATCGTTTTTCAAAGTATGTTTTGTTTTTAACAAAAGATATAAACCCTTAAAGGTTTGGAACACTTAAGGGTAAATTAATGGTGAGTAAATGTTAATTTTTAGGTGAACCATCCTTTTAAGTGCTAAATGACAGTTTCCTATTTCTGCTAAATGCAATGTAGCAGTCCTGTGTGTTCAGTCATGGTTTATGAGGACCAAGTATGTCTATTAAATGTAACTTAGCAGTAGGTTGTTGTTTTATTAAATCTGTGTATTTACTCATGGTTTATGAGGACACAGTATGTGTAGGTTGACATAGTGCTAGCAGTAGACAGTAGATGATTTGTTATGCGTGACTTAAAGTAATTTAACAATGTTAAAAAAATCTTTATCTTTGCTTCTCTTTTTCAGTACTTCCGGAGCCCGTCACTTTGACCAACACAGAGTTGTCTTCTACAGAGGTTTGTTTATTCTTTTGTCATGTTATTTTGACACACCTTAAAGGGATAGTTCACCCAACAGTACAATTGTTTCCTCATTTGCCTACCCTTAACTTGTTTCTTTATTTGTTCTGTTAAAGACAAAACAAAATACTTTTAAAAAGATGTAAACCTGTAATTCATAGTAAGTAAATGTTCATTTTTGGGTGAACCATCCCTTTAAGTGCTAAAATGACAGTTTCTTAATTTGACTAAATGCAGTGTAGCAATCCTGTGTGTTTAGTCATGGTTTATGAGGACACAGTATGTGTAGGTTTACAATGTTAGCAGTAGACTATTGTTTTATAACGTGTGTGTTTCTTCATGGCTTATGAGGACATGATTGGTTTTGTGAGACTTAAAGCTTTCAGTAAGCGAATGTCATGTTTTCTTCATCTTTCTTTGCTTCTCTCTTTCAGTACCTCCATGAGCCAGTCACTTTGTCAAACACAAACAGAGCTGTCTTCTACAGAGGTTTGTTAATTCTTTTGTAATGCTATTTTGACACTCCTTAAAGGGATAGTTCACCCAAAAGTACAATTGTGTCATCATTTGCTCACCCTTTGCTTGTTTTAAATCTTTATGGGTTTAATTTTCTGTTAAACACAAAAGAAGATGGAAACCTGTAACTATTGACTTTCATATTATTTGTGTTTTCTATTATGGAAGTCAATGATTGCAGGTTTTCTTCTTCCATCAAAATATCTTGTTTTCGTTGTTTATCAGAAGAAATAAGCACATAAAAGTTTGGAACACTTGAGGGTAAATTAATAGTGAGTAAATGTTCATTTTTGAGTGAACCATCCATTTAAATGCAAAAATTACAGTTTCCTTTTTCAGCTAAATGCAGTGTAGCGGTCCTGTGTGTTTAGTCATGGTTTATGAGGACACAGTATGTCTATTTAATGTGACTTAGCAGTAGGATGTTGTTTTATGAAAACTGCATGTTTCTTCATGGTTTATGAGGACACAGTATGTGAAGTTTTACATAGTGCTAACAGTAGACTATTACAATGTGTGTTTCTTTATGGTTTAAGAGGGCATGGTTTGTTATGCAAAACTTAAAACAGTAAGTAAACGAATGGTAAATTTTCTATATCTCTGCTTCTCTCTTTCAGTACCTTCATGAGTCCGTTACTTTGACAAACACAAACAGAGTTGTCTTCTACAGAGGTTTGTTAATTCTTTTGTAATGCTATTTTGACACTCCCTAAATGGATAGTTCACCCAAACAGTACAAATGTGTCATTATTTGCTTACATTTTACTTGTTTCAAACCATTTTGGGTTATTTCTTCTGTTAAAGACAAAAGAAAGTACTTTTAAAAAAAAGATGTAAACCTGTAACCATAGACTTCCATAGTAGAAAACACAAATAATATGAAAGTCAATATTCATTAGTTTTCAAAGTATCTTTTGTGTTTAACACAAAAGAGTAAATAGAGTAAATGTTAATTTTTGGATAACCATCCCTTTAAGTGCTAAAATAACAGTTTCCTATCTCTGCTAAATGCAGTGTAGCAGTCCTGTGTGTTTAGTCATGGTTTATAAGAACCAAGTATGTCTATTGGATGTGACTTAGCAATAGGCTATTTTTTCATTAAATCTGTGTTTCTTCATGGTTTATGAGGACATGATTGGTTATGCAAGACCTAAAGCATTCAGTAGTTTTCTTCATCTTTCTTTGCTTCTCTCTTTTAGTACCTATATGAGCCCGTCACTTTGACAAACACAAAGACTTGTCTTCTACAGAGGTTTTTGTAATTGTTTTGTCAAGCTATTTTGGTACTTGAAACCAATCATGTCCTCATAAACCATGAAGAAACACACGTTATAAAACAACAGTCTACTGCTAACATTGTAAAACTACACATACTGTGTCCTCATAAACCATGAAGAAACACACATATTTAATTAAAAAACATTCTACTGCTAAGTCACATCCAATAGACATACTTGGTCCTCATAAACCATGACTAAACACACAGGACTGCTACACTGCATTTAGCAGAAATAGGAAACTGTTATTTTAGCACTTAAAGGGATGATTCACCCAAAAATTAACATTTACTCACCATTAATTTAGCCTCAACTGTTTCAAACCTTTATGGGTTTCTTTTTTCTGTTTGACAAAACAAATAAGATACTTTAAAAAAGATGGATACCTCTAACCATTGACTTTCATATTATTTTTGTTTTCTATTATGGAAGTCATTGATTGCAGCTTTTCTTCTTCTATCAAAATATCTAGTTTGTTGAAAAAATAAACACATAAAGGTTTGGAACACTTGAGGGTAAATTAATAGTGAGTAGATGTTCATTTTTGGGTGATCAATCTCTTTGAGTGTTAAAATGACAGTTTCCTATTTTTACTAAATGCAGTTTAGCAGTCCTGTGTGTTTAGTCATGGTTTACGAGGACCAAGTATGTCTATTGAATGTGACTTAGCAGTAGGATATTGTTTTATTAAATCTGTGTGTTTCTTCATGGTTTATGAGGACACAGTATGTGTAGGTTTACAATGTTACCAGTAGACTTATTTCATAACGTGTGTGTTTCTTCATGGTTTATGAGGACATGATTGGTTTTGTGAGACTTAAAGCTTTCAGTAAGCGAATGTCATGTTTTCTTCATCTTTCTTTGCTTCTCTCTTTCAGCACATCCATAAGCCAGTCGCTTTGACAAACACAGAGTTGTTTTCTACAGAGGTTTGTTAATTATTTTGTCAAGCTATTTTGACACTCCTTAAAGGGCTAGTTCACCTAAAAATGACAATTGTGTCATCATTTGCTCACCCTTTACTTGTTCCAAACGTTTATAGGTTTAATTCTTCTGTTAAAGACAAAATAAAATACTTAAAAAAGTATGGAAACCTGTAACCATTGACTTCCATATCATTGGTGTTTTCTATTGTGGAAGTCAATGAATGCAGGTTTTCTTCTTCAATCAAAATATCTTGTTTTTGTTTTTTATCAGAAGAAATAAACCCATAAAGGTTTGGAACACTTGAGGGTAAATTCATAGTAAGGAAATGTTCATTTTTGGGTGAACCATCACTTTAAGTGCTAAAATAACAGTTTCCTATTTTTACTAAATGCAGTTTAGCAGTCCTGTGTGTTTAGTCATGGTTTATGAGGACCAAGTATGTCTATTGGATGTGACTTACCAGCAGGCTATTGTTTTATTAATTCTGTGTGTTTCTTCATGGTATATGAGGACACAGTATGTGTAGGTTTACAATGGTTTACATAGTGCTAGCAGTAGACTATTATAACATGTTTCTTCATGGTTTATGAGGGCATAGTAAAGGGATAGTTCACCCAAAAGTACAATTGTGTCATCATTTGCTCACCCTTTAGTTGTTTTAAATCTTTATGGGTTTATTTTTTCTGTTAAACACAAAAAAAGATACTTTGAAAAAAGATGGAAACCTGTAACCATTGACTTCCATATTTTTTGTGTTTTCTATTATGGAAGTCAATGATTGCAGGTTTTCTTCTTCCATCAAAATACCTTGTTTTGTTGTTTATCAGAAGAAATAAACCCATAAAGGGTTGGAATGCTTTGGGGTATATTAATAGTAAGTACATTTTCATTTTTGGATGAACCATCCTTTTAAGTGCTAAAATAAGTTTCCTATTTCTGCTAAATGCAGTTTAGCCGTCCTGTGTGTTTAGTCATGGTTTATGAGGACCAAGTATGTCTATTGGATGTGACTTAGCAGTAGACTATTGTTTTATTAAATCTGTGTGTTTCTTCATGGTTTATGAGGGCATAGTTTGTAATGCAAAAATTAAAACAGTTAGTAAACGAATGTAAAATTTTCTTTATCTTTGCTTCTCTCTTTCAGTACCCCAATGAGCTAAATGCTTCGACAAACACAGAGTTGTCTTCTACAGAGGTTTGTTAATTCTTTTGTCAAGCTATTTTGACACTCCTTAGAGGGATAGTTCACCCAAAAACGACAATTGTGTCATAATTTGCTCACCCTTTACTTGTTCCAAATGTTTATAGGTTTAATTATTTTGTTAAAGACAAAATGAAATACCTGTAACCATTGACTTTCATATTATTTGTGTTTTCTATGGTGGAAGTCAATGATTGCAGATTTTCTTCTTCCATCAAAATATCTTGTTTTTGTTGTTTATCAGAAGAAATAAACACATAAAAGTTTGGAACATTCAAGGGTAAATTCATAGTAAGTAAATGTTAATTTTTGGGTGAACAACCCCTTTAAGTGCTAAAAGGACAGTTTCTTATTTCTACTAAATGCAGTGTAGCAGTCCTGTGTGTTTTGTCATGGTTTATGAGGACATGATTGGTTTTGCGAGACTTAAAGCTTCCAGTAAGCCAATGACATGTCTTCTTAATCTTTCTGTGCTTTTTTCTTTCAGTATCTCAATGAGCTCGTCACGTTGACAAACACAAACAGAGCTGTCTTCTACAGAGGTTTGTTAATTCTTTTGTCAAGCTATTTTGACACTCGTTAAAGGGATAGTACACCCAAAAATGGCAATTGTGTCATAATTTGCTCATCCTTTACTTGTTTTAAACCATATGGGTTTAATTCTTCTGTTAAAGACAAAAGAAAATACTTAAAAAAAGATGTAAACCTGTAACCATTGACTTCCATAATAGAAAAAACAAATAATATGAAAGTCAATGGTTACAGGTTTTCAAAGTATCTTTTGTGTTTAACAGAAGAAATAAACCCATAAAGGTTTGGAACACTTGAGGGTAAACTAATAGTGAGTAAATGTTCATTTTTGGATGAATCATCCCTTTAAATGCTAAAATTACAGTTTCCTATTTTAGCTAAATACAATGTAGCAGTCCTGTGTGTTAAGTCATGGTTTACAAGGACCAAGTATGTCTATTGGATGAGACTTAGCAGTAGACTATTGTTTTATTAAATCTCCTTTAAGGGATAGTTCACCCAAACAGTTCAATTTCGTCATAATTTGCTCTACCTTTACTTGTTCCAAAGCTTTATAGGTTTAATTCTTCTGTTAAAGACAAAATAAAACACTTAAAAAATGGAAACCTGTAACCATTGATTTCCATATCATTTGTGTTTTCTATTGTGGAAGTCAATGATTGCAGGTTGTTTTCTTCCATCAAAATATCTTGTTTTTGTTTTTTATTAAAAGAAATAAACCCATAAAGGTTTGGAACACTTGAGGCTAAATTCATAGTAAGTAAATGTTCATTTTTGGGTGAACCATCACTTTAAGTGCTAAAATAACAGTTTCCTATTTTTACTAAATGCAGTTTAGCAGTCCTGTGTGTTTAGTCATGGTTTATGAGGACCAAGTATGTCTATTGGATGTGACTTAGCAGTAGGTTGTTGTTTTATTAAATCTGTGTGTTTCTTCATGGTTTATGAGGACACAGTATGTGTAGGTTTACAATGGTTTACATAGTGCTAGCAGTAGACTATTATAACATGTTTCTTCAGGGTTTATGAGGGCATAGTAAAGGGATAGTTCACCCAAAAGTACAATTGTGTCATCATTTGCTCACCCTTTAGTTGTTTTAAATCTTTATGGGTTTATTTTTTCTGTTAAACACAAAAGAAGATACTTTGAAAAAAGATGGAAACCTGTAACCATTGACTTCCATATTTTTTGTGTTTTCTATTATGGAAGTCAATGATTGCAGGTTTTCTTCTTCCATCAAAATATCTTGTTTTGTTGTTTATCAGAAGAAATAAACCCATAAAGGGTTGGAATGCTTTGGGGTATATTAATAGTAAGTACATTTTCATTTTTGGATGAACCATCCTTTTAAGTGCTAAAATAACAGTTTCCTATTTCTGCTAAATTCAGTGTAGCAGTCCTGTGTGTTTAGTCATGGTTTATGAGGACCAAGTATTTCTATTGGATGTGACTTAGCAGTAGACTATTGTTTTATTAAATCTGTGTGTTTCTTCATGGTTTATGAGGGCATAGTTTGTAATGCAAAACCTTAAACAGTTAGTAAATAAATGTAAAATTTTCTTTATCTTTGCTTCTCTCTTTCAGTACCCCAATGAGCTAAATGCTTCGACAAACACAGAGTTGTCTTCTACAGAGGTTTGTAAATTCTTTTGTCAAGCTGTTTTGACACTCCTTAAATGGAAAGTTCACCCAAAAATGATAATTATGTCATCATTTGCTCATCCTTTACTTGTTCCAAACGTTTAAAGGTTTAATTATTTTCTTTAAAGACAAAATAAAATACTTAAAAAAAAGATGGAAACCTGTAACCATTGACTTTCATATTATTGTTTTTTTTCTATTGTGGAAGTCAATGAATGCAGGTTTTCTTCTTCAATCAAAATATCTTGTTTTTGTTTTTTATCAGAAGAAATAAACCCTTAAAGGTTTGGAACACTTGAGGGTAAATTCATAGTAAGGAAATGTTCATTTTTGGGTGAATCATCACTTTAAGTGCTAAAATAACAGTTTCCTATTTTTACTAAATGCAGTTTAGCAGTCCTGTGTGTTTAGTCATGGTTTATGAGGACCAAGTATGTCTATTAGATGTGACTTAGCAGTAGGTTGTTGTTTTATTAAATCTGTGTGTTTCTTCATGGTATATGAGGACACAGTATGTGTAGGTTTACAATGGTTTACATAGTGCTAGCAGTAGACTATTATAACATGTTTCTTCATGGTTTATGAGGGCATAGTAAAGGGATAGTTCACCCAAAAGTACAATTGTGTCATCATTTGCTCACCCTTTGATTGTTTTAAATCTTTATGGGTTTAATTTTCTGTTAAACACAAAAGAAGATGGAAACCTGTAACTATTGACTTTCATATTATTTGTGTTTTCTATTATGGAAGTCAATGATTGCAGGTTTTCTTCTTCCATCAAAATATCTTGTTTTTGTTGTTTATCAGAAGAAATAAACCCATAAAGGGTTGGAATGCTTTGGGGTATATTAATAGCAAGTACATTTTCATTTTTGGATGAACCATCCTTTTAAGTGCTAAAATAAGTTTCCTATTTCTGCTAAATGCAGTTTAGCCGTCCTGTGTGTTTAGTCATGGTTTATGAGGACCAAGTATGTCTATTGGATGTGACTTAGCAGTAGACTATTGTTTTAATAAATCTGTGTGTTTCTTCATGGTTTATGAGGACATGATTGGTTTTGCAAGACTTAAAGCTTTCAGTAAGTAAATGTCATGTTTTCTTCATCTTTCTTTACTTTTCTCTTTCAGCACCTCCATAAGCCAGTTGCTTTGACAAACACAAACAGAGCTGTCTTCTACAGAGGTTTGTTAATTCTTTTGTAATGCTATTTTGACACTCCTTAAAAGGATAGTTCACCCAAAAATGACAATTTTGTCATCATTTGCTCATCCTTCACTTCCTTCAATCTGTGTTTCTTCATGGTTTATGAGGGCATGGTTTGTTTTGCGTGACTTTAAAAGTAAGTAAACGAATGTTGAATTATCTTTATCTTTGCTTTTCTGTTTCAGTACCTCCATGAGCCAGTCGCTTTGACCAACACAGAGTTGTTTTCTACAGAGGTTTGTTAATTCTTTTGTCAATAATTAACCAACCTCTATAGAAAACAACTCTGTGACTGGCTCATACCCAAAAATGACAAATGTGTCATCATTTGCACACCCTTTATGGGTTTATTTTTTCTGTTAAACACAAAAGAAGATGGAAGATGAAAACCTGTACTCATTGACTTCCATATTTTTTGTGTTTTTATTTTGGAAGTCAATGATTGCAGGTTTTCTTCTTCCATCAAAATACATTGTTTTTTGTTTAACAGAAAAAATAAACTTGTAAAGTAGAAAAGTCCAATAGTAGGAAAAATAATAACATGGAAGTCAATGAGTGCATGTTTTAATTTATTGAGAAAATAAACTAATAATAATTAAAATAATAAAATAATTTAAATAAGTGAATAATAATGTCTCTCTCACTTTCTCCCTTCAGGAAATAACAGGTGAATCTGGACAGAAATCCAGGAAACCAGACAGTGATGGTGGTGATCGTAAGAATTTCTGTCAATAACAATGCAGGAAGAAACTAAGTAACTAAAAATTACTTTGAAAATAATGTGCATTTTAGGCCTTTTTTATTTTAAGCAAATTTTAAGCATGAGCTAAAGGGTTGAGTTTATTTTCTTAATGAGTTATAGGTGTATTTTGAGAATAAATCAATCAGTCTCATCTCCCATTCCTTTTAATAGCCTTGCATCGTGCCATAAGCGCATTTGCTATTTACAGGACGTAAAGTAAGTTTAAGTGGAAAAACTGAGCATTTCACAAGCAAACAGTTATTTTTAACAGAAAACTGTTAAACAGAGAATCTACCGCGCGAGAATGAGAGATAAATGATCTACTTTCACTTTCGCTCTTGGTGGATAAGAAAATCTTTACGCACAGACATCAGTTAGCCTAATAATAATAATTAATTGCGTTTGTTAAGCGCAAATATTTGTTTCAAAACTATTTCTAAATGCAGTTCTAATTTCCAGCAAACTAATAAATGAACAATAATAACTAAGTGTTGTCAGAAACCTGAGTTATATCCTACAACACATGTTGCCCGCATATGGTCTAAAACCTGCAGGTGGGCAAATCTAAGCTTTTTTTTAATATAACAAATATAAATATGGATATAATAATTAATACTGCTAATAATAACATACAAAAGCAAATTGTTATGAATGAATTGAAAAAGCCTCCCGTGATGAAGAAGACATAAAAGCAGTGGTTTTTCATATTTATGTAGGCTGGAAGATAATGTTTTGTAAAATATTAATCCTTTATATTTATATCCTATATCTATTCTTATTATATCCTATATATATCCTTAATATTTAAATTTATTCATATGTAAATACATCTTGTGTGTATTAAGCAGTGTGTAAGCAAGGCGCAACTCTGCGCTGGAGTTTAGACCGGGTTTGTTTTGGTCTAATGAAAAATCTATTATAGTTTCTCAAAATAGCAACGCGCCAGCAATGCGCCTTAGAACGCCTCCCTTTTTAGACCAAAACGCCTATGGGTGCACATATGAGCACAAATGCATTTGCTATTTAAAGAACGTGGCGCAACGCCTCAAAACGACTCTTGCGCCAAGCTGAAACCAGCAAAAAACTATTGCGTCGCACATTGCGCCACATTGCGCCGGGTGTATGATAGGGCCCTTAAGTGCAATGAGGGTTAATTTTGGAAAATAGAATTAAAAAAATAAAAGCTAACTAAAATGAAAGCACAAACATACAGTACAAACAAATAAGTAGGCCTAAATAAATAAATAAAGCAGTGTTTTAGCCCAAATATAAAGAGATGTTCAGTGTTTGCTGTTTTGATAGGACTAAGACAGTCATTAAATAAGCTTTTTCATTTACGTTTTTATTTACATTTTCGTTGTTGATTATATTTTACTATCTCATTTTATGTCTAAATTATTGTACATAACAATAAATGAATAATAAAAAATAAATGAATAATAAAAATAGACCTAAATAATTATTTATTTAAAGACATTGCGGCGAAACACTAAGAAACGGTCCGGTGCATGGTCTAAAGAGCTTAAGTTGAATGCTACTTCATCAAAAGCATGAAAATAAATTGACCTACCTCAAGCAGATCACTAAAAGTATAATACAAATAGTTTTGCCGCAAGACATAAATTAAGTTTCACAAGTTTATTTTTAATAATTTAGTTTCAGTTCAGTTTTTTTTTTTGTCTGTTTTTTTCTTCAAAACGTAGCCTATACAGTAGCTGTAAATACTCTTCTATTTGTAAATAAAGATAAACAATGAAACAAAGCATTATAATTTCTTCATTAATCAATACATACTTGTGAACAAGTTTATTATCATTGTAAACTTGTTAAGTTCAATGAGGATTCATTATAAAGTTAAAGAATAAAGAAGACATAAAGAATTAAAAGACAACTAAAATGAAAGTACAAGCATAAATGCAATGAGTAGGCCTTATTAAATAAAGCAGTGTTTTAGCCTAAATATAGAGAGATAAACAGTGTTTGTTATTTTAAAGTGATAGGACTAAGATGGTCAATAAATAAGCTTTTTATTTACCTATTCATTCACAGTTTTAATTTACATTTTGTTGTTTATATTTTACTCTTATTTTTACCTATTAAAAATCTTATTTTTTTCTTATTATTACTCTTATTTTACTTTTATTATATTTATATTTTACTATTATGTTATTTTGTCTTAATTACTGTACATTAATAGCAAATTAATATTTAAGTAGGCCTAATAATTTATTTAAAAACATTACCAGCGAAATACTGAGAAACTATTTTTATATACAGGCCTATTATAATTTTAAAGAAAGCTGCAAGGTGTGCTACATTATTTTAAATTATTTTTTCTTTCTGTTACTTGAAGTTCAATGCGTGTGCGCTGAGAGACAACAAGGCAATATTGACAAAATATTGAATTTTGTTTTTTATATTGCATTGCATTAATTTGCAGAGATGTTTTATAGTTTATACAGGCCTAAAATAAACGCTTTGGTACAGAGTTATTATTTTAAAACAAACCTGTGTTTGTAATGATGGATGTAGGTGTCACAAAATACTTTTTAAATCTGTGATTTTATTAATATGATTATTATTTATTGTGAACAACACTTAATAAATACTGAAATGTCCTTAATACACACCTTATTTTTTTAATCAATTACAGTGCTTCCCGCTAGGGCTGCTCTATTATGGGAAAAATCATAATCACAATTATTTTGGTCATAATTTTAATCACAATTATTCAAAATGATTATCAGTTCAAGTCAAAATTATAAGGGCTCCTGTGAAATTATTATTATTTTTTTTATAAAAATTTCCCAAATGATGTTTAACAGATTCAGGAATTTTTCACAGTATTTCCTATAATATTTTTTCCTTTGGAGAAAGTCTTATTTGTTTTATTTCAGCTAAAATAAAAGCAGGTTTAAATATTTTGAAATCTATTTTAAGGTCAATATTAATAGCTCCCTTAAGCAAAATAGTTTTTGATGGTCAGCAGAAGAAATTATCCTAATTAAGCCTTTGAATCGTACTTTAATCTGAATGCTTGTATTTTGAAAAATATCTAGTAAAATATGTGCTGTCATCATAACAAAGATGAATGAAATCAGTTATAAAAAATTTGTTATTAAAACTATTATGTTTAGAAATGGGTTGAAAAAAATAGTCTTTCCATTTATCAGAAATTGGGGGGAAAAGGGTTGCTAATAATTCAGGAGGGCTAATAATTTAGATTTCAACTGTATTCATTTATTTTCCTCCCTGCAAAGGAAAGGGAAATATGTACAATAGAATAAAAATATGAAACAAACTGTGCTTTAAGCATCTTCACTGTAAAAAAAAAAAAAAAAACTTTAATTATAGCTATTAAAGTCCTTCAGTCAAGAACAGTGATGGATTGTCTTCTTTTGTTGTTTGATTAATGATAAAAACAGTCGGCAGCAGGAATATCACGCACTTTCACTTTAAGAGCAGTACGGTTCTGATTTATGGTTTCTCTTTCACATGTCTTTTGATTCTCAGCTCGTTTGTTTATTACATAAATGAGAGTTAATATGAATAATCACTGAACATCACGTTTTGATACCTATTTGACCATTAAAATGCTCACATTAAGATAACTTTAGATGTGTGTGCTTTGCTCTGAGCACACAGTGTGCGAATATGTGTGCGCCGCATACACACACCATGCGGTCTCATTCATGCTTTTAAAACATGAATGATTCGAATGTACATCAATGAATGATGCACATGCCATGCTGCAAAATTACAGTGCATGCTTTTAGTAATATTCACGTGAAACTGAGCTTTGCAGAGCAACAAATGTGTACAATTGGAAAGAGGACGGTATATGATGCAACAATCTTTTTATCTCGATTAATGATTTTCATATTCGTTTGAAGCCATAATCAAAATCGAATTTTCGATTAATTGCATAGCCCTACTTCCCGCATGTTTATAATATACTTGCGGTGGTAGCAGGCCTGGCGCCAGGATATCATAACTGAGGAGCATTTTTATCCCATGACAAATTTTGGTCCCTCTTGTTCCTTTCATTTAGGCTATTTATTCACATTAATTATTACTTTGCATTACTGCCTAAGTTACTGACTCAAGGCAGTAATATACTTTTTTATAGTAATAATAATATGCAGTTTTGCTATTATTGATTTTATACCATTTATCAACGCAGACAGATCATGGTTCATTGCCAAACGAGTGCTTTATATCAAATTTTATTATCCTTATATGGGCCTATAATAGGCCTATAAAGGTTTAAAGTTTTAGGTAAAGACGTCAAACTATGCCCATACATGCAAGCCAGTCCACGGTTAAACTATTCTATAACCGGTAAATAAATATAGTAAAATCAGCATTACTGAATCACGCTTCACAAAACCTTAACCAACCAAAATCAGTGTTAGGAAAAAGTTAAATGTTACAATCAAATGTCATAAAAAAAAAATTATTAAGTTACATTTTAAGGCATTAGTACGGAGACTCGGAAGGGACGTGATGGTGAAGAAAAAATTGGGTGGAAGAAAAAAAAAGGATGGTAGAAAAAAAACTGTGATAGGAATATATATATATTTTTTAAGTTTTTGTTCCCTCACAAAGATGTTTTGCGTTATCCACACTTCCTGTTCACTTCATACCTGTCAACCCTCCTGTATTTTACCATTCTATCCCTCTATCATTCTATTGTTAAGTATTTTCCCATATTTCTCATATATATATATTTTTTGAAAGCATTCTGAAACAAATATAGAAATGTCTGCATTTACTTTCTTTCTATTAAAAGCTGTGGGTTGATCATCGCCCTTCATATGCAACCTCTGAATCAGGGAATGATAAACTGATCCCAGATCAACTTCTGTACATGCCATTTAAAGAGTTGCTAAAGTGCAGGATTCAGATCTGTGTTTAAACAGACAAATATACTTAACAATATGTAAACATGTCCGTCCTGTGTGTTTTATTTT